AACGGTTAGAGACCAGTTCTCTAATTATTTTGTGACCAGTGGAAAAGTGTCATGGCAAGATCGAGCTTAAATGGAATTATAATTGCTTTATTTAAACAACAATAATAATAATAATAATTTATAAATATCCAATAATGTGTAATATGAAATTAATAAAATAAAGATGTTTAATAATAAATAATAGATTTTTTCATTATTAGAACCAAACTAAATCTTATTAAACTAATATAAATTTATATTACATGTATAATAGTTGTTACGTCTATCATTTTGGAAAAATATAAATAGGTACCTACACTAAAAATGAATCTAATGATATAAAAATAATATAATATAATATAATATATAATATGATATGATTTAGTATACATCGTATATTGTATCTTAATAATAAATAATTAAATAAACTTACCACGATTGAAATGGTTTTTTTCGCCTCATAAATGCCATGTAAAAATGTCATGGATTCGTAGGCAAACCAATCTGGTTTGTACACGTCATCTGTACCACTACCAGTACCCTTGCTTGCCCGCTTGCCTTAACATAATTTAAAAGTTTTCGATACGTGGCCATTAGTGAATCCTTTTTTTTCGGTTATATCAGTTTTCACCCTAACATTATTACAAAAATATAAAATAAATAATTCAAAAAATATTTTATTTTAATTAAAAAAAATAGTTTGCAAAGTACTACCTTATTTTGCTTTCAATTTGCTTCCAAGCATCGTGAACTAAACTACGATTTTTATTGTCAGGATGGCGAGGATTCCAAATCTGTGGTTGAGTTACATATAGCTCTAAGAACTCTAGAACCTCATCAATGGTCCACTCCATGTTTTTTTTTTAATTAAATTTTTTTTAAAAAAAAACCAAAAAAACTTGAAAATTTTCTAGTACTTCAGGTACTTAAAGACTAGCCGAATCACACGCCTGTGGAAACGGTGTTTAAATGCGCGGCTCGTTTCCTTTGGCGCGGACACAACGGACCGACAATTTTCGGATAGCCACGAGCCTAGACGAGCAAAAGTGTTCCCACGGCGCGTGTAGTGTACCGAGCCAGCGTACTTGGCTCGAAGCTCGCCGAGCCATGCGCCGTGGGAACCCACCTTTATACTCATAGACGGAGCATCACTGGTTGGCGGGGTTGGATGGTGCGGTCATAGCTATCCTCTTAGCAGTGTTGTCATTTCTGATAACATAAAATATATTTATTTATTTATATTATTAAGATATATGTTAATGTTGTAACATAATTATTAAGGCTCGGGATTATGCATTTGCAAATTTAAAATTTGCAAAACATTTGTCCGGAAAGAAAATAGAATAAATCTGATTCATTATAAATTTGTTTTGTGATGTCTGGATTTGAAATTTAAAAGTTTTTTGTGGGCATATTTAAGCATACCTACCTATTTCCAACTTTTTTCCTATATATGCATATTTTTAAAAATTTATACTGCATATTTTATCTTTTTTTTTTTAAATAGGAATTTTTTTAATTATTTACATAATAAATTAAATTTGTATAGGTATAAAAATTATTGATACATTTATAAAATTCAATTTTCTGTATAAGTATTTGTTTTTAAGGACAGCATTTAAACTAATGAAACTTAAAAACAAAACCATTATAAATATATTATACCCAACCAAAGTAAAATAAGTTAACAGTGATAGATTTTTTGATATTTAAAGCATACTCATGATTTATGTCTTCTATAAATTGTGAATAACTAACATTAACACACATTTTATATTTTGGATGCTTAAATATGTACATATATTTAAATATTTTTGATTTTAAGCACATAGTCCCAAGTCCCAAGCCCTGTTAATTATTATAAAAAATAGTCTAGACTTAATACATATTTATCTGTGGTCTAACGCAAGTAATAATTTTAAGTGGTGTAGGTATAGTTAGACTAAAATATAATCCATGTATTATAGCTATACAGGTATGAGGTATTTGATTGTAAGAAATTGTAGTGTTATTCGATTTTGATATATCAAAATACATATTTTTATTAAAAGTTAAAATGCTTATTTATAGAAAATGTAAATTCATGCAATTTACATAAAGGTAGTCAATTTAGAAATATATAAACATGTAAAAAAAATTGCAGATATCTTCTGCTAAAATAGGAAAAACCTAATGTCATTAGGTATTTACAATTTACACATATTGTGTTAAATTTTACATTTTTACTCATTTAGAAATAAAACAATTTTTGTAAATTTTTTCCTCATAGAAATGCTATTTTTTTTTTCTACTGATGCAGCAGCATGGTGAAAACAAATATTTAGATATGTGAGAATAGCCAAACTTATTATTTAATCCCTGTGTGAATTAAATAATTGTTAGCCTTTACAGTGGTCATTTGAATTAAATAAAAATATTTGGTTTCTGGTATATTTTATGTTTTATTTTATTAAACATTTTGTGTTTAATATTTGGTAAAAAAACATTAAAAGATCGAAAAGTTCTTTCATCTTCTTGACATATTTCTGCTACATCCTGACTAGGTTTTATCAAAGCGTTATTTCGATCTTTTTCCATTATTAATTTGAATTTTCACTACAAAACCAGCAATATACTCGTAATTTGTTACCACATCTAAAACTGGTTTCAGTCTACTTAAAGATTGTAAATAATTATGATCTTGTTCAACTACATTTAAATCTTTTTCAATATCATCATTTATGATAGAATCTGGGCCCACATTAACCACAGACATTTGAGTGCTATCAAGTATTGCAACACAATTGCCATACTGTGAACCACTAATTTCATTATGGACCAGTAATTTTTTATAAGCCGATTTAAATTATTTACAAGATGGGTTGTTGTTAAACCCACCTCTTTGTCTTATTGAATTAAAAAATGTCTCTATGTGGTTTTGAGACAATTTAAAACACAATAAGTAAGCAAGACAATATCTTTTTTTGTAGACAAGTGTACAATTTCAATACATTATCTAATGATTTTATAAGTCCAACAAAGCCAGTTTTTCTTCCCGATTCTATTACTCTTTTACCATTGGGTAACAATAAACCTAATACATAATCATAAAACTTCTTGCTAAAATGTTTATATTTTTCAAATTGTTTTTCATCAAGTGCCAGGCAGTAGGGATTTTTAGAATATTTACTTCTGCAATTGAGTATATCAAATGCATCATTCATCATCAAACAAAACTCTGCTGTACCATCAATATCTTTAAATTCATCATATCCTAAAAATTTGCAAAATTTCAGACCATTTTCAACACTATTACTCAACACCTGTGTTGCTAACTCGACATTCATTTTCTAGTTGTAATAGTACATATGTTTATTTGCCAATTTTGTGGCTGCTTTTAAACCTTCATTTTTTTCTTTAAAGTACAACATTTTAATATGGTCCAACTTATTTTCTTTCCTTCTTGATTAAATAGTCACCCCATATCTCCCAAAGTGTTTCTAACCAACTTGATCATATGGCAAGCATCATAAAATATATATATAGGCTCATTATAATATATGGATTTTCAAAACTAAAACTTAATTCGTCATTCATATCAAATGAAGCACCAAGATTTGAACACATTTTACTATTACTATAAGCTCCATCAAAAGTGATTGAATGAACTTTAGAACCCGTATCACCCATGAGAATTAAACACTGTTTTAATAAGTTACTTCTTTCAGTTCCATTTTGCCCCGCAACAAGAAAATAACCTATTGGCATTTTCCAGTGTCTATTAACTCCTACAGCCATAAAAACTAGTGCATTTTTTGCGTGAACCGAGTTATCGTTCTCTGTGTCAATATTAGTACCCATATCAACAAAGCCATGCATTTTTGTACTATCCCATTCAATTTTTTCTCTTATACTCATCTCATCTAACACAATGTTGCGAATCACAGTCTCATTCTTTGCTTTCTCCTCTATACATTGGAATGCTCCTTGAGTAAAACCTGGGTCCCCATTCACAACTTTATACCATTTACTTATTGTTTTGGAATGTATGAGTACATTTTTAAAACTTTATCACAAAATTATAAGCCTTATTTGAGTAAAATTGTAAAGTTATGGCAAATTTCCTCATTTCTGGTGTAAATGGAAGCTTTTTACCCTTCATATTAAGCTCAAATAAAGTACGCAATGATTCAGAACCAATAGACTAAATAAAAGAATGAAATAAAAACAAAATTATTTATTATATAATATATATTTTATTATAACATTTTATACAATTATAAGGTACATGTATATGTCTTTTCGGTTGCTATAAACAATCACAGTCTTGACTGGCAACATTCTCGGTATCGCGCAAATTAACAGAATGATCCGCAGCCATAAAACGTATATATGTAAATTTTCAATAGTATACAGTGTGTTCACCAATTTTATTTAGGGAACACTGAATTTCTCGACCGGATTTTTTTTTACAAACTGGTGGTATATAAATACACATTTTAATTTTTTTGAAATGTATCGAAAAATGTGTATTTATATACCACCAGTTTGTAAAAAAAATCAATTAATTCCAAAAAAATTCAGCCGAGAAATTCAGTGTTCCCTAAATTGGTGAACACATTTTATATATAAGTAGATCAAAAATTTACCTGCAAGTGGACAGATGCATTCTCAGTTAAAATTAGTTTTTGATATAATTTCAGAACAAGATCATCGTAAGTATTAAGTTTTTCTGTTAGTCTTTTTAATCGTTTTTTGAGGTTTTCATTTTCAATTTGCTTTTCCCTATACTTGTTCTTTACCATGTTTAAATGTCGCTTTGCCTTTCTCAGAGTTCTAAAATGATTGGTGATAAAACTCCAATTGAGTTGGCATTTAACATCTTATGTTTTATAGGACTTTGACAATAATTTAAATAACCATGGCAATATCTAAAATTAAATAATTCAATTAATACATTTAGACATTTACATTTAGATTTTTTTGATATGTTATGCATTGAAATAATGTTTGTTAATAAATGTATTGATACATGCCTGTAATAGTAGAAGCTTTGGGTTCAAGTTCGACACATGTCCGTTTTATAGGACTTGGACAAGAGCTAGATGTACCAGTACCGTGATATTCCAAAGGTTCAATATCTTAAAATAAATAATATTAATACATTAAGACTGTTATGTTATATATGAAAATAATGTTGGATAATTAATAAATTTATGTATTACCTGTACTCGTAGAAGCTTTGGATTCAACACATGGCCGTTTCATAGGACTTGGATGAAGGCTAGATATACTAAATGTTTACACGTAAATATTTACGTCAATCTAACCAGATAATTGTGCAACACGTGACAGCAATGTAACTTCAACAATGTACATAATCGTACTAATCGACTGCTATATAGTAATGCAAGTTGCATGGAAGGTTACGAGTGACTCCCTCGATAAAACCAATATAAATCAACAGAATATAATTTAAAAATAGATACAACAATAATATACAACTCTCAAGGGGTTCCTAAACTATATAATAATTTTTCTTGAGCTATACAACCACACCAGTCTTGCCACCATGATGTAAAAGTCACCAAGTCACAGCAAATTTCTTATCAATAATTTTTTTTTTTAATATTATTGTTTTTCATATTATAATCTCTATGGTTACCCAATACTGTTGATAAACATAAAATTGTATATTTTACCGTAATAATCTGGGCATAAGAATGTCAATATTAATATTGATCATTGAGATAAATACTGATAAAGTAGACAGGTCACTGGTGACCTTACATGCAGTGAAGGGCTAAACTAGACTTCACTTTCCAATTGAAGTTTGCAACTATGGATGAGTTTTGTTTGGAAGCCGAAAGTTCCATGTTGTAAAAAAAGTTTCAGTGGTGTGATTTTAAATATAGTATTTTTTGCTAATGAAATTTTATATTTTTTGACCATAAAACCAGTATAATAATCATAGAAGACAGAATAAATTAAGTTTTTTTTTCTCAACTGACACAACCATATCTCTAGATTTCAATATTCCTAAATGTTTGCCTAATTTCAAAGCACATTTCACACGAATTTCCAAGTAATTTGAGATAATTGTATCGCAATCATCGTCTTCTGAAAAAAAAAAAAATAAAATATACTAATAAATAAGAATTTTTTAGGCAATTTTCAATTATAAAAAGATTGTTTTTAAATAGAAATTAAAACTGTTTTTTTTTCTTTAAAATATAGAAATATTAGATTTCACTATACTAAATTTTCGATTAGCGGAATGCCATGATACGGGGATACCTCGAAAACGGTTGGTTTAGGCATACGTGAAGTTGGTCCTTCCACCGTAACCGATTTTTTTGAAAGTTATGTACTCATTTTGCAAAAATTTGCAAGTGGTTTTCAGAATTTGTAAATCATTTCTCTGCCCGCTTAAAAAAAAATAAGACAGGGGAATCAATTTCACGCAGCTTCCCTCCTATTGAGCTACAGGTTTTAAAATTACACCAATATTTTGTAAATAATTTACAAACATTTACAAACCGGTTTTCAGAATTCGCAAATTAATACTTTGATGAATTTTTACAAGTTTTTTTGCAAAATCCTATTCAAAAAATATGTCAATATTTTGAAAATTAATTGCAAATTTGTGTATTAATAATTTTAAGTAGTTGAATAAAAAAATCTTAATTTTATAAAAAAAATCCGAGTGGAAAAAAGGCCAAGCATATTAAAATATCTGATATGAATAAAAAATTAAATTTTAGATTTTTAGTGCCGTTTTTCTTAATTTGACTTTTTTTTGAACCAATTTAGATTTTTATTTAATTAATATTTTTTTAATTTATAAGATTTTTTCTTATTCAACTTAGACTTATTTATCCATAAACCAATTTGGAATTAATTTTCAAAATATAAGCATATTTTCTGAATTGGGGATAGCAAAAAAAAAAGTATTGATTTACAAATTTTAAAAACCGATTTACAAATTTTTGCGAACTATTTGAAAAATGTTGATGGCATTTTGAAATTCGGAACTTAAAATAAGGATAGTTGCGTGAAGTCTTATTTTGTTTATATCTGACAGGGAAATGATTATCATATTCCGAAAACCAATTTGCAAATATGCACATTTGGTTTATTACTTCGCTCACATAACCTTTAAATATTTACAACTCAAAAACTAATCATTCTTATTTTGATTTTCATGTAAAAAAATACTCTGAAAAATATTCCGTTCGGAATAAGAAATTAAAATGTATGCAATCATTAAAAAATTAAAAATATGTAGTTTAATAATATCAACTGGACATTTTATATACAAATATTTTTAGGAACTTCAATAGATTTTTGAAAAAAAAATAATGCACAACGACAAAGAATCATTTTGTGTGTACGTATTTTTACATATACACTATATAATATATATATATATATATATATATATATATATATTATATACATATTATTCAACAATCGTTATACGTATTATCTGTTTACAAATTGTATTTCTCTAAATTTATATATCCAATATTATGGTTTATGACAAATAATTAAAATTAAATTTCTCAGTGATATAATATATTATTGTTTAATAAGTATAACATATCATATTTTAACAAGCTTAATTCAAATACTGTACCAGATGAAAATAATACAGGCAAAATTCCACGGTGTAAATGATATTGCCGTGCCACCTTATGATTCTCGGTTACTGCGAGAATAATACTTCGAGGTCTGTACATAGCAATAGCATGTGCTATACAACTACTTGGGTCAATTACAATAATAGCAGCAGCTCCATATTTGTCACTCATCGCCACAGCTGTCCTTGCCATCAACTGATTTTCGTCCAACATTCTATATGGCTTTAATTTTATCAGGTGAATTCGAAATGAATGTATTGTTAATGATAAATAGTAAATGTACGAATTCAAAACTTGAAATCGTAATACTTCAAAACATGTTTATTTTACGCACAACATTTAATAATTAATCTACGAGTATATTTTGTTTAACAAAAGAACACATTGTGACCTAACGAAAACCGATTCTTCTGCATATCCTACAATAAGTAAACTGTGTTTACATCTAAATATCGTATTTGGCCTACATATAATAACCTCGATTGCATTAAAAAAGAAAAAGTGAAATAACGTTAAAATACATGTTTGTGCACAGTTATATATTATAATCAATTCATTTACAACAACATGTAGTTCAAAAATGAAAATAGTTTGCCAAGATAAACTTTTTTCATTTTGAATTGCTGTGGTCTGTGTAACGTAGGAAAATTTAATTTCTGTATTATGTCATTATCGATGAAATACCTACTACAAATATAGTTAATTTTCTATAATTATTATATCTTTATTTGTGTTTTTGGTGTAGGTACCTAGATATTTTTTATTAACGCGATCCACCATTATACTACTTAAGTCAATTTCTCGAATACTAGCTAATCAGTTGTCATCGTATTTCACTTGGTTACGTATTTATGTTAAGTTTAGATCCTACACTACCTAATTCCTTATCTAGTAGCATCGCCCGACGAACTTATTGGAGATAATTCAATAATAGAAATTAAATTTTCTTTTTCAATCAGAGATTTTACGCACGAAAATGCATACAAGGAGAAAAAAATAAATTATTTAAAACAAAAAGACGACTAACTGGTTTTGAAGAAAAGTTATGATTATTTTTGTTAAGTTCAGGGTCAACTACACATAACGCAAACATACATAATCATACTTTTACATTTTTAAATTAATTAAAGTATTATAGGCATTTTGATTATTGAAATATTTTTTTTTAAGAATGTTGATTGATACAATTGAACGAGATGATTCGTTTTGGAAAGGCGAAATGGAAATACCTTTATCAGAATTCTACCTCAACCACTTGATATTAGAAATTATTTCTCCGTCATGTACAATTTGAGCTTGAACTTCATAATTTTATACATGCTTCTATATATAAAATTTTTTTTTATTATAATTTTTAATAACTAAGTCCAATTTGTATAACAAGACTGTAAAAAATAAAAAAAAATAAATAATGATTGACGAATGGCCATGGTGCACGATTGGAGTGAATAATAATAACAATAATATATTACGCTGCCTAACACGGACATTTGAGACTGAACGATGAATTCTGAACGTATCTACGCACATTAATGATCATTTACATCGCACACTAGCAAACTACTTAACGAGTACAAGATGTCGAATTGCCTATACACGACTCCTTATTAAATCACCGCTTCCAATCCCCTTATTATGTATGCGTATTATTTTTTGTATCAATACAATAAATTATAATTATACAAAATACTTACTACGCTTAAAATCATACTATCAAAAAATTCTTTTTGCCAAATAGCAGATTCAGCTTCCCGACATAACTTGTCCATAGTACGAACACATTCAACTGGAAAAAGACCTTTGGCTGTTTCTCCCGATAACATAACACAGTCAGCCCCATCCATAATTGCATTGGCTACATCAGAAGATTCAGCCCTCGTTGGACGTGGATTTTTGATCATTGACTCCAACATTTGTGTAGCACAAATCCCTGGCTTCCCAGTCTTAAAAAATCATACATATAACATTTTTATGTGATAACAGGTAATAAAGTTTAACTACATGCTTACAATATTACACTGTGCCAAAATAGATTTTTGGGCTAAAAATACTTTTTCTTGAGGAATTTCAATACCTAGATCACCTCTGGCTACCATAATACCGTCCGATACACTGATTATAGATGGTAAATTTACTATACCCTGATGGTTTTCGATTTTGGAAACAATTAATATGTGCTTATTTTGTTCACCTAAAATTGAGAAGTACTTGGAAATAAATGTAACCATAGTAAACTAGTATACGTGTACCCAAAATGTGTCGTATTTCATTTACCGCTGATGCATCTCTGATAAACGATGCAAATATCATATCTAAATCATGCTCTGCTGCAAATTGTATATCAGCTTTATCTTTTTCTGATACAGCTGGTAAATCGACAGCTAACCCAGGTAGATTAATTCCTTTACGGCTACCCAACATGCCTCCGTTCTCAACCATACAATCAATATAGTTTTCACCTATAACGAATACAATGATTTCACTTAAATAGATCCTAAAATAAACTGAATTTACTTACCAATTTTAATAGCCGTCATTAACACCAAACCATCATCTACGTATATTTTATCGTTTTCTTTCACGATTTTTGTTATATTTATATAGTCAACATACACTTGCTTACTTGAACCACTATATTCAAATTGTTTATCTGTCGATAAACGAATTTTATCACCTTTTTTCAACTTAATCTCTTTTGTTGCACCATTTCCTCCGTCTAACATGCCTGTTCGAATCTCTGGACCTTTAGTGTCTAGAGCAATAGCTAAGGGAAAATTCACACCAATTTTTTTACTATAGTTTTTTGATGCCTTTCTTAGGTTTTCCACAGTTTTTAGATGATAATCATGAGATCCATGTGAGAAATTCAACCGAGCTATATTCATTCCAGCACCTATCAACATCTCTAATACTTTTACATCTGCTGAAGCAGGTCCTGTTAAATTTTTTACGAATAGTAAAAATTGTTTTAAAGTTTAATTTTTAACAAAACTTTAATTTACCTATCGTACAAATTATACCCGAATGACGTAATGAATGAGTTCTAGCATCTATGTTAAACGAACTCTTGTATTCTAGTGTAGTATTAGAGTCATTACCATAAAGATATTTTTTATTTAACAGTAGCTTTTCCTTTATGAAGTAAACATATATTTTATTTTATTTCTATTAGTTATAAGTGTTTTAATAATTTTAATACTCTTACTTTTGGATCGTTTACAAATGGGGGCCAAGCTAAAGTTTTCTTATTTGTATGAAACATTTTTTGAAATAAATGATTTTGGTGCTTATAAATTGGTTTTATACATTTTATAAATTGATTTAAAAACATATTTTTGATAATTTAAATTAAGTTATAAAAATAAAAATATATTAAAATATATATACATTTATTAAAAAAAAAAAACAGAAAAAAAATGCTATAAAATATGATTGATGTCAACGTTACACATATTGCAATTATAGTAGCCAAATGTACTTTTTAATTGTATTCTCTAGTGTCCTTCAATTGTGTTGTACAGAACCGGATCAAGATAGAAAAAAAGGAACTTTTGTAGGGGGACGAAGTACCACAACTAATTTTCAAAATTTTAGCGTACCCATCCTATTATTCAAAAGGGAAACGCACGAGACGCTTTATCATTTTGCTTTTCTTATCATAATGAGTACGTAAGATACCACCATAATTTGTCTTATGGATTACTTATTAAAAATAATAATCTAGTTTTAAGTGATTTTAATTTTTGCATGGGAATTTCTTTTATGTTTGTTCAAATAAAAATATTGTCACTAGATGGTGTTTTAATAGAAATGGAGTAATTGCTCTTTACTTCTTACTTTTGGTAGACTGTGCGAAGGAACGAGGAAGAAATATTTAAAATACCGAATATTGGTCTATTTTTGACAATTTGCACCTCACGTTAATAAAATTAAATACCATATAATATGATAAAACATTCGCAGATTGTGAACCTTGAATTATAATGAATAGTAATATATTAATATTCAATTTAGATTTTCTTAGTCTTGTTGTTTGATAGTAGTAAACAATATATTATCGCCCAATATTTCGATATAATAACTACAATATTAGGTATTAATTACTATTCTTTTACAACAGTCAACAGAACATTATATTTATATGACGGAGAATTATATTGATATAATTTTATATACCTAATTAATAGCAATATAGATTTGTCATAAAATATACTAAGTATTAAACGATGCTGACTGACAGTCTTCGTTTGAAAATTTATAAATATAGTGAGAGATATATTTGAGATCTACACCACACATAATATACTAGTATTATACATATACATATCATACATGTACAATGACACATTGACATGGGTATTATATTTATGTCAAAATCAATATGCCATTTATTGTATTATTTGTATTATGTAGAATGTAAGCACCAAGCAATAATAGTACTCATTGCACTGGTGGGACACAATTTAATCAACCAACAAAATCCCAAATAATATTATTCATACCAATGAAACATCGTCAGTCGATTTCATAGTTATAAATCTTTATTCATTTTTAAAAATAAACAAAACGGAACGAAAAAACCTATTTCAGAAATCAAAGGTTCTAGTATTCACATGAAATTTTTTGTAAAAAACAAAGTTTAGAAAGTAGGTTTTCGGAAATTTGATTGTTTCTCCTTGAGTTTATTACCAGCTTTTGAAAATAATCGCTCTAATGGTACCGATAGTGCAACAGAAGAAAAGAACTTTTGTACCAATTTAAATGGATTAGGAAACACTGATTTATAGGTCTCCCAAACCTCTAATACGTTTTCATCAATGTTGATCAAAGGTAAATCAAGATATTGCTTAAATTTTGGTTCCATGACAGAATTAGTATTTGCAATACTTGCTATGCCATTTTAATGATTTGAGTTTGAGGTAACCTCAAACAGTGATCTTTGGTGCGAGAAAAAACGCGGCGGTACTCGGCAGGCTGATGCTGAATGACGGTGGATTCTTTCAATGTAAGTGAAGTCTACTCGTGAGTACGGTCCACAGCCGGCTGTTATACGGTGCCTCGGTGTGGGCGGACGGATAACACAGGTGCAGAAAAACAAGGATTTTCTCCTTCAGGTCCAGAGGGACACGGCCTTGAGGGTAGCCAGGTACTATCGTATCGTCAGGATACCACCAGCGCCCATACTAGCAACTGACTGGAAGAGTGTCGCTGAGGAGAGAAGAGCCAACGTCGACCGCAGTCGGCATGTTGTACTGAAGAAAAACATCCGACAGTGATAACGAATATGGGATTCGACTACAAAGGCGGCGTGGACGAGGTGTCTTATCCCAAGCATCAGCAAATGGTGGTTCTTTGGCTCTCGGCAGATAAGCTCTCATATGGCTATAGTCCTCACGAGCCATGGATGCTTTCAGAGTTATCTGTCGGCCAGGAGAAGGGCCGACAGTCCGGCGTGTGTTCACTGTCCAGTTGGTACCAACGATGCTAAGCACACATCGTTCCACTGCTAGTTCTGGGAACCAAAAAGATGGGACCTAGCATTCGCTATTAGGAGCTGCATCGGCCTGGAAGACGTGTCATACTTACCGTGTGGTCCGGAGTGGGATCAACTCACGGATGACCATGCTTTACAGAGGAGGTTGATCACTGCGACCACTAGACACGGACAATTGTTCAATGAGATGGTGGAGCAGATCATCAGAGGAAAGAAAGTGTTGGAGAGAGAGAGACAGAGAACGGCAGCAGCAAGCGTTCAGCCGTGAGATGGACAATTTCTCAAGAACCATTAAGTAGTTAAGTTTCATTATCTGTGGGCCGAACGGCTAAATCCTGTGCGGTTAGAAGTCCCAAAGTAATATGTGTTTTACTTCTTCCAACTTTTGAAGGACATCTATACATTTTAAATTTTTATAGACAAATTGGTGACCCAGTATTTCCCTTTCTGCTGCAGTTGTATCATTATCAAAGAGCTTGGCTCCATGACTCATAGGAGAAAAAAGAAAAAAGACTTCACTGAAATCTCGTGATGTGTTCATTTTCAAGTACACACTTAATATTTTGTACAAGGGTTGAAATGTTTCAACAAAGACATTTAAATTTGAACTTCTTAAATGAATCAATTTATCTAAAACTAAATTAAACTGTTGTCTGTAAAAATTTAACAATCTATAAGGAGTACTATTGTCAGCATTTAAATCAAGTCACTTTTCTTTCTTCCTAGTTCGGTGATAATGATTTAAGTCTATGTCTAAATCAACACCAAATGATTGAGCTGTAATTTTAGCACTGTTTATAAAATCATCCATCTTAACTGTTTCCGATCTAATTTTTTCATAAATATTAATGAAACAAAATAATTAAAATTTAGAATTTTTTTTTTTATTTAATAGCTTTTGTTTTATATTCATATTTTTTGTAATATAATGTATTTCTTTTTAACTTATGGCAAGATTGAAAGGCGATATTTAAAGTAGACATAATTCCTCTCTTAAATATGTCTAAAATAGGTATGCTTCTTTTTATATTATTCAATTTTTCATATTATCTTTGAAAGGTCTTTTTGTAACAATGTAAAGTCTTACTAGGAAAGTTTTATTAATGAAAGTTATTAGCCAACTATAAGTATGCCTAATTTTTTTAATCATTATTTTTATTCATTTATTTGATAATATTTAAATAGAAAGAAAATACTATTAAATTTAAGAATCAATTCAATATTACTTCATTCAAGTAAATGTGTCAATAAAAACTAAAGTTAAAGACAAGAAAATACAATTATACTGTACAAAAATTAAATATAACCATGATAAAGATATTTTAACAACATAAAAATATGAGTGAGTTGACGTAAAATTTAAGAGTTTACTTTATAAGATGCAAGTTATTTAATTTTAAATGTAAAAATATAATAACCGCTTTTATGATATAAAAATAAATTTAAATAAATACATTTTTTTTAATAAATTGACTAGCAAGTTACACATTATTATTATTATTAAGTAATTAATAATAATTATTATTTATAAATTAAGGACTAAATGTCCAATAATCAATATATGATGTGGAAAAAACATCTGTAGACTCAATTTTTCAATGGAGACAAAACTGTAGACAAGATAATATGTATGTTTACCTATAAATACATTTATTATGTTACAAAAACAAAGGGACATATATTTAAACTAATAGTTAATATTCTTACAATAATTCAATTCAAACAAAAATTTCATCTTCAAAATTTCCAATAAGTTGATTTTCTAATTGATAAACATTAACTTTTGATATAAGCTGTAATGAGTGTTTATCATTCAAATAGAGCTGGCTAAAAGCATTGATAAATTTATATGTAACTAATACAGAAACCAATTCTCTGTAACCGTCGTTGTCTATATCCATCACATTTACTAGAAACAAAAAATAAATAGATAATAAAGTTTTTATGAAATCATTTTTTGATGTTACAATTAAATAAATCAAGTAACCAATATTCATAGTTTTTAAAGTAGATTTTTTAACAAAACTTGTTTGAAATTATTTAAATAATCAAATTCCATAAATCTGTTTCTATTTAGTTATTACATTATAGAGTTTTAACTGAAAAATTATTTATGCATTTTTAAATAACATATATTTTATTTGAAATTATAAACATCAATATTGTTAAGTTAATTGTAGTATTTACTTAAAATAAACATGAAAATTATGTACAAGATTTAATAAATTTTCTGTCAAAAGGGATCAACCCTATGTTTGAAATTTTGATGAATTTTATTTCCAATATATAAGATCTATTTTTTTGGTAAAAATAGATTAAGTTAAACAGTTTTCAATAGATCAATAAAATTCCAATACATGACTATATAATTGAGTTAACTTAAATAATTGTGTTAATCTAAATATAATTGATATATTATGGTCATTACGAATTAAAGCAATGCTTGATTTTTGTTAACAGAGTTATGAATAAGTCAAATTTGACTTGTAATTTTATTGCACAATGTGCGATATTATAATTTTCATTTATCATCTAGAATTTTTTATTAATAATTTTAACTACGTATATTTTTAACGCAATATAACTTTTAATATAATATAAAATAAACATAAAAACAGAGTAAAAACATTAGTCAACTTAGTTGTATAACAGATTAGGATGATGACATCATTTTCAAATAAGTTGAAAGATGTTAACAGTAAGTATTTAATTTTGTTTACTTTATTTTATATTAATACAAATATTAATATTTTACAAAATATTAAAAGTATATTTTACTACTTTTACTCAGTTTTAAATATTTTCAAGATAAAAATAAATGCGAGAAATTGATTTAACATAGGTAACTACAAAAAAATGACATGATGGATAAAAATAACATAGACAATAATAATAATCGTAAGTTATAGTTTATATAACTGCAGATTTAGATTCAAACATTTTAATTTTTTTACATAGAATTAATTTAGAAAAGTTTTATTTTTATCACTTACAATATTTTTGATTATTTTAAATTATTATAAAAACAAAAATGTTTCTTCAATGGTATAATATAGTTTATTTATTGAAATACATTTTAAAAGTATTTCTTACAATCATGATATAGATGATGATTCAAATATAAGTAAACAAGAAACTTTGAACTTGAATTAATGAAAGTGATTGAATATTTTGGGACAGAAATTCTAGAATATAAAGACATAGATATGCCTATAAATCAAGGTATTAAATAATAAATAATCAAAATCAATATTATTTCCTTATCATTAAAAAAATACATAATTTATAAGACAGAAACATATCATTTTCTATTATTTTTAGATAATAATTATTATCCTAATAAATAACTTGAGCAATAACCACAGAAAATATTAAAAACAACGATAACAACCTAAAATAATAATGGTAAATTATATTATTATTTTTGGATTCTAAACAGAGTAATAAATGTATTAATTTTATGATGATGTGTGTTATTTTATTTATGCGTACATAATAATTAGTTCATAAAAAACTTCTATTTTTAACTTTGAAGGGATCAAACTTAAAAATTCAGAGTATTTTTTTCTTAGAAAATTTAGAGAAACGAAACAAAAATTATGGTAAAAACGGGAATTTTTGTAAAATTGATTTTAGTTAACATTTATTTTTTTTCAATTTCCTTTTATAAATGTTGATATAAAACAAATCATGGGATTAAAATCCTTTAAAATTTAATATAAGATCCCATATTAGTAGTTCATATATCTATATAAATGTTACCTATGTTGTACGGAGACTGACAATGCAAATTTAACTGTATAATCACAATAACTTATAATAAATAAAAGATATATAGTTTTTAAATATATTTAAGTTTTATAAATTAATTAAATTTTATCTAAAACTACATAGTATTAAAAAAAATGATTAAACAATAAATAAAAAATTGATATATAATATATAATCATTTCAAATTTTTTAAGTTTTATTTTATTTTATAAATATACAAATTATTTTTTTATTATTATTATTATTTTTTTTTTTTTTTGTATAATTTAGAATAAGTTACATAATTATAGTAAATATAGAACATATTAATGTTTTAAAAAATGTATATCATTATATTGATTGCAATTATTTTTTTTAATTATATAAAAGAAATTATTCTTATAATTAATTATTTAAATCAATAATAGTTTATGTATTTAAGGTAAGAAAGAATTAAGACTTGATCAAAATGTATTAGTTGTGCCGTCAAAAACTATCTAGAGGTGTATAAAAATAAATCTTCCCAAATAATATACTTACATGAATATTTTTGATATTCTAATTTTGGCTGACAGTTTGACTGATTTTCACATACTTGTAAAATTCTGTTTGAACTTATGTTTTTAATGTGGAAGTCTTCTGGTCTGGATGAATTATATGTAATTACCATAACTTGTTCTTGAATATATTCAACTTTTTCAATGTTAGTAAATTTGATTTTACTCTAAAAAATATTTAAAAAAATAATTTGTTTAATTATTACTATTTTTCAATGAAATATAAAATTAATGTCTTCTTTTAGTTTTTTTTTGTAAAACTAGTCAGAAAAAGTTGTGTTAATAACTTAAATATAACACAATATACTATATAATTGTAATATAATTTACAGCAAACACTTAAACAAAAAATTGTATAATTAATGTTGTTAATTATAATACGGCTTATTGTTTAATTATATTTAATTAAATTTAAAAAACTAACTAATAGTATTGCATAATCAAATAATATATTAAACTATAAAAAAATTTTAAAAATCTAAAAGGTTAAAACATTATTTAGTTTGTTAAGAATTTATCAACTATCAAATACATAATTGAATTATTAAGAAAAATTAATGTAAGTTAATAATTGTACTCGAAATAGATCATCTCAGAAATTTAGCAGTTCAGTTCATGTAAAAGTATTATTTCATAAAACTTTTAAAACAGTAAAATTTTGGTAGTGCAATAAAAATATTTATTTTTTGATGATACTGACACAAAAAATTATAACTGTATATTAATTTTATATTTTAAGAACTCAAATAAATTTTTTTTCAAAACATTAGATACCTATCAAAAATTAAAATGACATTGCGAAGTAATGCTTTGGTTACGTATCTACAACTTTAAACTTCTATGTCCCTTTCTGTATGAAACTATTTTTACATTTAATTTTGTTATTACACTAACATTAATTTACATTTTATACATGCTTTTAATACATTTAATAAAATAAGATATTTTTCATTTATAATACAAATACACAATCTAATTAAATCTGACAAAATATGCCTTATTAAAATTATATAATTTTAACTATGTACCTAATCATAAATAAGCTCTTCCTTTTTGTATAGGTTTTGTGTGAAAAAACTTTTTATACATTTTAATTGTTTTAAAAAAATGTAGAAATTGACGTAAATAAAAAAACAATTTAATAATCAAAATAGGATTTATTAATTTTAGTTAAAATATATAAAAAAAATTCCTCATAAATTGTAACTTTTTTACATAATTAAAACATGATCATTCTAAGACAAAATGTGTCAGATCTTTTGAGTCTAAATAATGAATCAAACAATCTACTACTAATTTAGAAAGATAAAGCAAATAGTAATTAAAAATTGTAATTTTTTATACTATATATTATAAAAAAGTACTCACCTTAATTGTTTCATTATTCCAAGACCAAATTTTGATAACAAATCCAGATATATTGTTGCGCAATTCAAATATTACTGGCTTCATTATATAAGAACCATCAATTTTCTTTGACCAAACTGTTTCATTAGAATTATTTGTTACATTAACAACTGTTGTACAATTGATCGGACAATCATAATAGCTATTATTAATCCAAAGATTATAGGGTCCAAGTGTAATAAAATATTGATTTTCTTCAATTTGATCATGTTCTCGTTTGGTTTGATGAACTAAATCTGGTATCCAATCACGAGAGCAATTTAATATAGTTTTGATTGGAATCGTTTCTAAAGGATCTAAGTATAAAGATATATATTATAATACATTAATATATACAACAAATGCTTATAAAATATGTTTAAACTATATTCTTTAAATTGACATACCTATGACAGTATTTTTACGACAAAAATAGACTAAGGACATATCATAATTTAAAATAAGATCTGTCATTTTAGTACAATTATCATTGCGTATACTGTTCATTAATTTGTTTCCACTTTTTCCAGATAAAATATCTAATGTAGGCATATTATTTTCATGGTGCACAAAAGCCATTTCATTGACACCATCAGAATCACAATCAGGTATTATAACGGGAAACTCCATATATACTGGATCATTGATGTTATTTAATTTAGTAGTGTTTGACTCTGGTCGATTTTTTTTCCATACAAGATCACCTATTAAACAATATATTGGTGTTATTTTGCATAATATACATTACTTTAAATTTTAAATAAAGTTTATTATTAATTCATTTCTTTTTTATTTTATTCTATAGATAAAATATAAGTATCTATTCTTTTTTTTTTACCTATACACGGTATAGAACACTGAAATTAACTTTGGGCCTAAATCATTTACATACAAACACTACTAAGTAACCTATTTGAATTTAAGTACTATACAACTGAATTCTAAAATAATATTATACATTATTTTAAAACAAAAATTCAACAAATAAATTACTTAAACTTCATCTTCTATATTTACAATAAAATAACAACAAATATTACTGTGTTAATATTAATATTGCAAATAAACCAGTACCTTTATTTTTACTACTGGATACAACAGCTAATAAATTTCTATTAGATGCTCCTACTATGCAATATACTTCCTTGTTTTCTTTGAACTGATTATTTAATAATGTACAATCAATTGTATCGGGTAATGAATCTAATCGTTTACGCCACATTTCTTTACCAGTAACTGTATCTATTTGTAAAAGACCCCCACCAATTGATGGTAAACGTTCTGTTCTAGGTGGTACATTTTGGCTGTTGAGAATTGATCCTCTTACTATAAATAACAATTGTATAAGTTTTTGATTTAACTCAATTGTACTTGGTTTGCCTTTTAACTCTGTAACACATAGATCATAATGAATTATATGAAATAAAATTAAATAAAAACAACTTATACGATATAAAAAATACCTATATCAATAAAAACAGAATCAGACCAAATCAACTTAATGTTTTTTGAAGAAATACAGTTAGACCATTCACATGGTACTATAAATAAAACACCAATTATGACAGCAAAACAAAATAAAATTGAAATCATAAATAAAATGAATCTGAATGGTGACATATTTTGAATATTCATTATGAATTCCTCTAGTTTGGTATTCTTACTATTTATTAGCACTGATTTTGGATGATTTGTTGGTGTTGTCACCAACTGAATTGACTCTGTTAAACAAAAAATAAAAAAAGATATGTCTTGTTATTATAAATAATATGTGCATTTTGTGGACAGTCATAATTTATAATAGAATATAAATATACTTTAAATATTGTATTGATAATATATTATACAAATATAATTGGTCACAAAATATATTAATTTTTCAATCATGGATACATGTAGTTAAAATTACAAAATTAGCAATGTTAACACATTTTTTTACATAAATATTTAATAAATTATATTATTATTTTATACTTTGGATTAATTGACTTAAAATTTACACTCAAAAAGATAATTTTACACTATGATAAGAATAAATATAGTATCAACTAAGGAAGTAAGGTAATAAGTATAAAACATTTTTGTTTTAGTACCTATTACAAAACATATTAAAATATTTAATATTTATTACTATGTAATAACTAAAAAGTATTTTGCCTAAATGCGCTTAAATTAACTTGTTTATTTTTTAATTTACACATGTTGATCCATATGACTTAATATAACTATATTTATATAATTATTACAATATAAAGTTAAGCAAATGTTACAGAAATAAATAATAACTATTATAAAATAATAGGTAGAGATACAAATACTAAATAGTATAAGAAATAAGTGAAATATTTATTTAAAAATAATAATATATTAACAGTACTGTCGATAGAGTTTGGTAATATAGATTACCAAAGGCACAAATTTACTTATAATACTTATAATTTGCTTTAAAAAAATTGTAAAGCAATTATTTTTCAAATCCTATACATAAAAAAAAGTATAATACTAAGTTGACAAATAATTCAGAAAAATAATTTTTGTGTTTTTGTGTTGCAAGACTTAAGAATTCAACATGTTTTGGTTATTAATACCAGTGAAAATATAATCAAAGATAATAGGATTAAAAATAATATTCTTTTAATGTGAGATATTTGTATAAAATAAAAAGTATGCACAATAATATGTAGTAACAGCACTTTATAAATAATTAAAACATAATTTTAGGTAGATATAGGTACCTATTTTACTAGATTATATCAATTTAAATATGTTGTTACTAACATACAATTTATTAAGTTGCAATATGGCCAATTTGTAATGTCAATCAACGTATATAGAGTAAAATCAATAGGTAACCCGACTAATTATAGCTACATAATAAACATAATGAATTGTTTGTAAATAATAAATGTACTTCCTTGAGCAAACATATCTTTACCTTTAACTGGTTGATACATAGTCATAGCTTGTTCCTATTATGGCAGTAGTGAATGCTAGTAAATGGTAATTTGACATGCGGAACACACAATTAAAGGATCGGGTCTTGATGTACCATGTTGAATAGTATAACATATACTGATATATACGATTTCTCGCATGCTTTGTACCACATTAATGTAATTGAACGACCATCATGTACTCAAATACATAATCAAAACAAAACCACAATCGTGTAATTTTTCAAATGTATTTGTTTTGAATGATGTGGTACAAACAATTTCGGTTTTTGAAACCTCTAGTCATAAAGACGGCAATCATCGCGGTCGCTACCGTCGGATAGTTTTCGATGCAATACCGTACGCACGGCTAGGTTACTAATGTTTTGATTTAAAAACGCAAAGTAACATGTAAGTGAATTTAGTGAATAACTGAAAAATACCTAGTCGAATGCAGTGCCACTGGTAATAAAACAAACAAACTCAACGCGACACACGACATATCATCAACAGATAACTGAGAAGTGAAGAGTGAAGACTGAAGACGGAAATCAGTATCAGGAAATGCATCAACAAACGATAAGCGCATTTTCGCGGTGTTACCGATTACCGAGTGCAAGCAGTTCAATGTTTATTAAAAGTTATGTCATATCAGTAAACAGCAGGCAAACGCCGATTGCTTTCGTTACCTCCGTGAATATATGTTTGATGTGATATCATTGAAATCGTTGAACTCTGTATTGTGATAACGAAATACTTACCAAGAAGCAAGAAGTGTTGTCTGAGATAAAAAATATGTAGAAAATAGGAATGAGATGGCACGTACTATTTTTATTTTGTTACTACCATTGTCCTGCAACATACCACTAATATCTTGCATTAATTTGACGTCATATTATTTTAGTTTAGTTTTTAACATTATTATTCTTTACTTCCACGAAACGTTTTTTTGATTCATTTTATAGAATTTGATAATTGATCGTACTAATAATTTAACGATAAATAAATAGTTTATTAGACTGATAGTTATAAAATAATAAGTATTAAGACATGTTTTTCTTGTGGACTCTTTTTACATAGGTACTTATCTCATAAAAATGTTTAGATAGTCAAAAATATTTCGAACAATTTTGTAAGTTGGAAAGTATTAATTCATAACTTTATATTTTGTCCAGCAAAACAACACGCTGTAGCTAAATGAATACATGTTTTTGCGCATTATCAATCGATACCTTGTCATTGAAATGTTCAAAAACTTGATTCACCCATTTTACATGATCAGCTATAAAGTCCAAATTAATATTTTTTGTGAAAGTTTTAATTTTTTTTTTTTTCATTAAGGTGGATTAAGTTCAGCCATCAGGTAACCCACCCATTTTACTCGATAGTCACCTGACAGACATCAATGGTTAGCAAATATATTTTCTAAATATTTTTTAAATATTTTTAACATGTCACCATGTTATCAAGTAAAATAAATATACATTTCAATTCAAACTACTCATTTCAGTATAAAGGAAACTTCTGCTACCTCAAAAAACCCAATTTTATTGACAATATAAGTTATTTTACATTATTTTATATTTATTTTACCATTTTTTTTTTGCTTAATTACTTATAACATTCAATAGATATTCTACTGAATCACTTGATGGTGATGTAATATTAAATTTAACGAATATTTTTTCTTATGATTGGCATGGTATTTTAAATTTTTCGATTCTCATAATTATGTGTTGTGAGGTATTGATCAATTTTTTTTCAGTTGGTTGTTCTATATCATCACCATAAAAAAGAAAATTATCTTTTCAATTGATAGTTGTATTAATCATTTAAATATTTAATATCAAATTATTATTACTATTATAACTTTTAAGTTATTAATTAGCCTATTATTGTAACTGATCTAAGGAATGGTTTTTTGACTTATGACATTTAAATTTAAATTTTGGAATGTAGATTGATATCTAGGGTCTGGGGTAGTCATCTGTTGATATAGCTTAAGTTATACAGTTAATAATATTATAGTAATTTATCTTATATAGTAGCCAGTAGGAAAGTCAGTCGTTGTTTTATATTACATTTATTGTACATCATGTATCATAATTCTTATAATTATATTATATACACATCTGATGTATTGTTATAAGCTTTTATAGCTTCTGTATATTTGTGTAGTGTGTATAATATGGTTTAAAAATGACCTGTTTACGCTGATCGTTCAGTAATTTTTATGAAAAAATTTTTAGTCATCAATTTTTTTAACACAATTAATCAAAATCAGTTTTTTGTTAACTATAAATTTTTACGTTTTGTGATCTCACTTCGAGACATCAGGACATCAAAACCAGTTAGTGCATTGACAAATCCAGAACATATGACAATTTAAATTTATTTCGTAACAGTTTTCTAAAAAAGTTTTCCATTGAACTATTAAGTACAAGTTAGGTAAATAATAATTATAAAAAAATATTTCCATTTTTTTAATATCTGTTAAAATGTTTCATCTCTTTCTATTGTTAATGCTAGCTGCTTAACATTGTTGTAAATAAAAAATTCCTATTTTAATAAAACAGAACAATAAATCATTATTTATTATTTAGTATTGTGTAAAGTACATTGATATTTTTTTTTTACTTAATTATTGTCAATTGGTAAATATTTTAAATTAAATTTTTATTTATACAAGACATTAGACATTTTATTTTAAGAATTGCATTAATATTATTTCATATAATTTGTTAATACTATCTGAACTGGCACATAACTATGGAATAAATGAATTAATAACTAATCCACTTCTAATTATTATTTAGTTAAATATTTCTTCATAAACTCTAATAGCAATGGCTTCAATAATTTTACAATATATTATATGTTTGATGTACATTTTTGAGTTTTTCCTAAATTAGTAATTTTGAGAAAAAAAGCATCCTGAGAGTAGTGTGCACATTTACTCTAGTAGTACTCTACTATACCTCATCTGCAGCATGTCTTAATTGACTGAATAGCCAACACAAGAAAATGGAGAACAACAAGCATGTGAAGTTTAATTATTCAAAGAACCAAAAATAATACCATTTGAATGTGAGATAAAGAAATTTACATTGAATAAAGTATATATACAACAAATTAAAAAATAAAAATAAATGGATAAATGCAAGGAGTGACACATTAACACTAATCTATGTAGAATTGTTTGAACCAATAATATTGGATATAAAATTCATCGGAGAAATAAGCATAATTGAAAAGTTATTAAAATACTTAAAAACAATAAGTGTTGTTTGATAAAATAATCACCTGTATAACAGTTAAATTAAAAATATATAAAATGTTTTTAATTTGTTGTTATTTTAAGTCAAAAGGACATATTTTTGTTAACAATATTTTCATTATAGATACCTGTGATACATGTAATATTTTTAATAAATTAAAAATAAATAACATAAAATAAATAAATAAATAAATCTTTAAATTGGATCATTTTTAAAGTCACTTATAAATTAGAGTATAAATCATTGAAATATTAAAATATGTTCTGTTGTGATTTAAATAAAAAAACATTAATGCATTAAGTTTTCATTGCTTTGGTATGATTTGATTATTATTCTATTATATTTATTACAGCTTATTTGAATAAAAAAAATGATAATAAAATTAATATACTGATAGTTGTGGGTGTCAAAGTACTTCACACTCAAGGGAATAACTAAGTTTAAATATTTTAGTATAAACAATAATTTACATTAATTTTAATGAGATATTGATATAAAAATATAGAAATAAAAGTAAATTTTATTTTATTTATTATCAAGAAAATAAAAAAATAATAAAAATGCTGATCATTGTTGAAATTTAAAAACCTTTAGGTAGATAAAAAATTATAAATGAAACACATAAAACATTTATTTTATTTTTGATGTTTAATTGCATAGTATTCGTCTTTACAAGATTTCCAAAAGTTTGATAATCGATCATTTTTATTGCTACAAAAATATCTAAAATCTTCTAATAGTTTATTTTGGAATTGCTCATCACCAGTTGCTGGATTTGACGATTTCCATCTACGACTTACCATGTGATTCCATGCCCAGAGAAAACCAACCTAAATAAAATATAAAAATTATTAAATTGTATTACTATACAAGAGAATAGTGTTATGTTGTGGTGTAGTAGCACTTAACCAAAAACTTTTAATAATATCAGGCAATTTATAAAAACAGAACACTTTTCCACTTTTTCCCATACATAACAGTTTTTGTTTTGGCAACTATTCAGTTTTAGAATAATAGTCTATAATATAACAATAAATTATAATATACAAATTATGCCACTATCTATGAAGTAGTTTTTAATTTTGTTTCTTTTTATAAATTTATAAATTTTTTAACAAACATAATTTTACTAAACATTTAAAATATACTTAATTTCATAGCAATTGATTTTTACAAGCTTAACTTGTGTTTTTTTTTTGTATAATTGTTATTATTTATCTTTAGATTTATGTTTTTATAATAAGTAATATTAAAATAAGTATTTCTATTAACTAACCCTTTTTTCTATTTTTGGATCATTTTCTTTAGGTAAACTATGATACACATGTCGTGATATATACTCCATATGAGGACTAAATTGTAATTCTTGTTGATTACCACCAGATTCTAGTTCATTTAACCCTTGATCAGGAGAATCATTTTTCTCTTTAGCTTCTTCAATCAAATCAGAAAGTATTAACACAAACACATTACCTGTGAATAAATTAAAAGATAGGTACTTATCAACTACATTTATATTAATTAACTTATAGGTAATATATTAAAAAATTTTAAACTAATTAAATATATTTAGTAACCTGTAAGATGAATGTATTGATTATGATATGATTCATTTCCATTAGTTTTTGAATTACATATTACAAATCCAAATCGATAAAGTATAACTTCTTGGAATAATAATAATCTTCGGAGCCATGAATCTTCAGGGTATTCTGTAAAAACATGTATACATATAATAATACAATTTAAAAAACTGGTATTTATTTAAATAAATATTTGTTTTAATATGTATAAAAAGCTAAAGTATTGTGTAACAAAAATTAATTAATGGTTATCATTTATAAGCATTAATTTGAATTTAATAGATTCATCTTATTATTCAAAATTAAGATGAACTAGAGTTTTAGTACCATAAGATTTTTATGATTTTAGCAATTTTATTTTTCAATAAAATTTTAAAAGAAATGTGTGAAATGTGTTAGGTTTTATTAATATGAATTGGCATTATTTTAAATTTAACTATGAAAGAGTATTGTAAAATTTGGTTAAGCAAAGTTCTATTGGTGATAACTGAATTTTTTTTAATACTGAATATTTTACTATACTTAATACAAATAAACTAGATATTATTTATTTATTTATTATTACTATTATTCTTTGATGAATATTTTTTAAGCTTTAAACAAATTCTAAAAAAATATTAAAAAGAGATCTTAATTTTTTTTTGGCTATGAAATTAAAATTTTTGTTTTCAATTTTTTGTTTCAATTATAAAATAAATTCAATACCATGAAATAAAGAATTGTTGTCTTCTGTTAAAAGACATTTTAAATTAAGAGGTAC